AAATCAAAAAAACGTCAAATTTCCTCCAGACGCCATATTAAAAAATCACGTGGTTTGCAGAGCCTAATTAGGCAAATGTCCAGTTGACATTTGTTCTCATTTTGACCCACAGTTTTTACAGGAATGATCAAAAGCTTGGTTTCTTACAAGTATTTCGAGTATGGCATTATTTTAGATGCAGGAACAGTGATACTGAATAATTTTCACGTTTTAATTGGAAAAATTTAAAAGGTTGGGCACTGAAAACAACCTGACATCATTCTTGTTGAAACGCCTTCCAAAATCAACTACAAGACACCTTTCTGGCATTTTTAATTAGAAAAAATCCTTATGAAGTCAATAGAATAAGAAAATAAATAGGGTTTAACCACAAAACAACCACACAATGCACTTTAAAAAGCTTTAAATTCTCTGTCATATACGGAATAAGAAACTTCCGCCCCGGACGCCATTTGGGAATAGTTTTGACAGGTCGTTGGAATGTCTAATTAGGCAATTCAATCCATCTGTCAAAAAGGAAAATTCAATGTGACATGGCGGCCAAACAAGTTTGTTTTGAATATGTTTTTATGCGTATTTTAAATTATTTTGCATACAGTTTTGCTTACAACTTTGATTTTCATTATTTAATAAAATATTTGTTGACTAGGTACCTAAACTATTAATTCGGGCAGAAACTAGATATTTTTTTGTGTTTTTTGGCCCATGTGTGGCCGCCACGCCATCTTGAATGTCACGTGGTTTGAATTGCCTAATTGTATAAAATTTGACACTGGCAGGAGTTCTTGACATTTCAAGATACCTGGATGATTTTCTAACCTTTTTTGTTAAGTAACTTCTTCAGTTACAAATATTCATGGTTACCAACTCGGTTACCAATTAACCTAACTTCAAAAAATTGATCTCCAATCTTTTCCCTAAAACTTTGACATGGGGTTACATCTTTAAAAAAAAAACAGACTTCAGAATTTTGCGTAGAATCTAAAAATAAAATAATATTTGTATATTATTCCCTGTGGTGTCCTATTTAAAATAAGCAAGTTGACATCAGCTTCCGGTATGCCCGCAATCTTAAAAATATGGGGGGTCAAATAGGATGTCAAATTGTGGAGAGGGGTCTGTTCTTTTAAATAATTCTCAAAATTTGGTGAAACAAAATTGTCTTCGATTTTTAAGATTTTTTTTTTTTTTTTGTCGTAATTATGATTTTACCGGTCTATTGAGGGGACTGGGAGGTCAAATGGGGTGTCAAATTTTGGAGAGGGGTCTGTTCTTTTAAATAATTCTCAAAATTTGGTGAAACAAAATTGTCTTCGATTTTTTAGATTTTTTTTTTTGTCGTATTTATGATTTTACCGCTCTATTAGGGGGACTGGGGCGTCAACTGGAGTGTCAAAATGTGGAGTATATTATTCTGTTTCTTTAAATAAATCTCAAAAGGTGAAACAAAATTGTCCCCGATGTTTTCGATTTTTTTTTGTCGTATTTATGATTTTATCGGTCTATTAAGGGGACTGGGGTGTCAAATGGGATATCAAATTATGGAGTGGAGTCTGTTCTTCTAAATAAATGTCAAAATTTCGTGAAACAAAATTTTATTCGATTTTTTAGAATTTTTTTTTGCCGCATTTATAATTTAACCAGTCTATTAAGGGGACTGGGGGGTCAAATAGGATGTCAAATTGTGGTGTGGAGAGGGGTCTGTTCTTTTAAATAAAGGATAACGCACACCTAACATGGGATTTTTGGGCTCTATGGATTTTGCCCATTTTTTGATATGTTGTAGAGGATTCAATTCTGAACAACCTTTAAATGGGACGGAATCTTGTAGGTATTACGGTCTTTGCGATATGAGCCTTGAAAGGTGAACTTTTTTGTAACTTTTTGTGTGGAGAGTATACGAAAAACTGGTGTTTATCAGTCAAAATGTTGACAGGTCAACATGTTTCACGTCACTAACAAATGTCAACATAGGCTAAGGCCAGGACTGCACTGGCGCCAACATTGACCCCAGTGCGGTCCCGGCATTAACCTAAAGGTACGGTTTGTTAGGAGAGTACGCGTCGCACAACTGACAACGTAAACGTCGTCATTGATTCAAGTATGATCATAGGTATGACGTACACACGTTTTCTCACGTCAGAAGACGGGTGTACGTCATACCTGAACCAATGACGCCGTTTACGTTGTCAGTTGTGCGTCGCGTACTATCCTAACAAACCGTACCTTAAGATGACATTAATTTTTAAGTGACGCAAAATATGTGAACCTGTCAATATTTTGACTGATAAACACCAGTAGCACCAGTATCTCGTATACTCTCCACACAAAATGTCGCAAAAAAGTTTGTCTTTCAACGGTCATATCCTAAATACCGTAATACCTACAAGATTTCGTCCCATTTAAAGGTTGTTCAGAATCAAATCCTCTACGACATATCAAAAAATGGGCAAAATCCATAGAGCCCAAAAATCCCATGTTAGGTGTGCGTTATCCTTTCAAAATTTGGTGAAACAAAGTTGTCTTCGATTTTTAAGATTTATTTTTGTCGTATTTATGATTTTACCGGTCTATTAAGAAGACTGGGGGGTTTTAGGGTGTTAAATTGTGGAGCCGCTCCGAAATTGGATAAAACAAAATTGTCCTGAATTTCTTACATAATATTTTTGTTTTAGTTGTCTGAGTTTGTTGTTATTTTACAGGACTATTACGTTTTTATTTTACTGGAATATATTTATTTGTTCATTTTAATTGAAAATACATTCAGATTGTATAATTTATTGTATAAGTATTTTTCAATTGTTGCTAAAGCATTTTGAATTAATTTAATTCATTTAAATTGTTGACCTCCGCCCATGGTCGTTCGACAATCATCGGTACTTTGGCAGCTAACTATTTGGCAGCTAGCTCCACACCGCTAAAAAAATCACTGTATTGTCGCCACTTCTCATCCCCTACAAGATAACGTTGTTCCGATAAATCTCTGATACAAATAATTTATTCTAAAGATACCCCATAACACAAAGGGGTTTCCGAATTGGGTTGTAGCAAGACCTAAGCTAACCCTTGTTCAAATATGAATCTGTTGAAACGAGCAGATTTTTAAATATGTCAAAAAATATTCTTTCAACCCTACATTAGCAGCGTCAGATTGGTTGAGGAAAGATTTCAAGTTTTCTGTGCCCCAATTTCGTGTAAATTGAACAGTTCATTTCACCACCACATCCGAACTGATTCAACAAAAGTTTTGTTTTTTAAATAAAAACCAATAAGAAATATGTATATTAAAATGCATGAATTTTAAAAATTAAATATTCAGCTAGATGAATCTGCCTAGCTGTTTGATCATATTGCTGGTTGCCTAATCCACCGACCAATCAAAAGCAGCTAAATACATATATCATAGTGCCTCAGGTCTGGTAAAATGCGTCCCGGGTTGCTTGTGATGGGATTTTTTTTAAATTGAAGCTAAACCTAAACTAACCGTGGTTCAAATATGAATATTTTTTTAACAAGCAGATTTTGAGATATCTCAAAAAATGTGCTATCAACGATTCTTTGCACAACTTGTCCGGCGATTCTGGAGAAATATATAAGTATTTTTTAAATTCTGATACGACCCAAGGGTATATACTGATTGCTTCGGTCACTGCCAGATAACACGGAGCCCTAAGCTATAATGGGCTTATACCTATCTTTTTGTTAGCATCTCCTGTGAACCGATTTCTCTGAGTTGGTATGCTTTCGCTTATATTGCACTGAAGAGAGCTAACAAGCTCAAAACCAGTATGAAATCAATGATGGAAACAAGCAGATTTTGAGATGTTTCGAAAAATATGCGTCCATAACTCCTATTTGCCCCATGTCCCGGGTTGCTGGGGATGAGATATATATATATTTTTTTTTTAAATTTTAGGTAATACAAGAATAAAACCCAAGTTAGGTTTACTTGTATACCCCAAAATATAATTTCCTCAAAAACATGTGTAGTTTTTGGTGATACCTATGTAACTGTAGAATTGTGAAAAACTTCCCCTGGAAGTTTCCTGGAGTAGATACAAGTGACATATCAAAAAAGCATATATGTTTATCTGGGTCTCGCGGTTGAAGGGGGGAAATTCAACTCCAAAACTAAAAAAAACAAATTTATTTGAAAAATTTTGTAGTAGTTTCAAAGTTAGTGGAAATATTCTTGGAGCAGATACGGGTAACATATCAAAAAAGCACATGTTTTTCTCGGGGCTGAAGGGGAGAAATTCAACCCCAGAACTGTAAAAAAACAGACTTCATGAAAAATGTTGTAGCGATTTCAAAGTTAGTCGAAATATTGCTTGAGCCGAAACGAGTGAGATATCAAAAAAGCACATGTTTATCTTGAGGTCGAGGGAAGGGGGGGGGGGGGGGGAAATTGATGAAATACAAATTCACGTCGATTAAAATATAACTATGGAATTGATAATCAAAATATAACTCGACGCACCTGGGCGTTCGGGTATCTTTTTTGCTATCTTTTGTAACCAACTTCACATCAGTTAGAAACTGCAAACAGCAAAATAAGTTTCACTCATCTACATTGTTTGTAATTATCTAAGTATAAGGGGTGATTCACGTAGCTCGTACATGAGCTTGCAGGTGGACTTGATGCTACCTCTACTTATTCTGCAAACTGAAATACTCTTAATTCACGGGCTACGTATATCAGAGTGTATATACGGATGATATTTTATCTTTGCATGATTTCCTTATCATCTTCAAAACGCCTTCAATCTATCAATCATTATTGTTCATGGAACTTGGATAACGCAGCGCCCATATGTTTATTATAACTACAGCTGTGGATTACCTAAATAAAGATTTGCACTTAATGAGTGATAACAAAGAAGATACATAGTTTAATAAATACTTTCTAGCAAAATATGTGTTTACAATTGATTAATAGCGAAAGTTTAGGAAACTTTATTGTTAAACAATTTGAAAAAATGCATTTTCACTTTTTCCAGGTCCAAGAACCCATAAAACCCAAACTTCACTGGGATTTTCTTTTGGAAGAAATGATCTGGATGTCCACGGATTTCTCGCGAGAGCGCAAATGGAAAAAGGCGGCAGCTCAAAAAATCTCTCGAACGATTCATAAGTTCTTTCATGATAAAACTTTGGCCGCTCAGAGAGCGCAAAAAGAAAACGAGCGTCATATGAGACTGGTATCGAATTTGATAGCAAAATCAATAAAGGATTTTTGGAATAATATTGAGATGCTTTCATTACATAAGCAATTGATTATTATGGAGGAAGCCCGCAAGAAGGAATTGAATCAAAAATTGAGCATCATTGTCAATCAAACAGAGCAGTATTCACATAATATTGCAAAACAAATCAATAAATCCGTTTCTACAACTTCATCCGATGATGATGCGGAATTTATGGACACTCAGAGCGATGAAGACATTGAAGAAACTTTAGAGGAAGAGGAAAAAGATTTATCGGAGGCGGACCAAGCAAAGGAAGTTGAGGCTTTAGTAAAGGAATCTAAAATGCAATTAGATGACGACTTTTTGAGGGAATATCTTTTAAATAGAGATAATATTCGGTAAGTGAAAACATTTTATTTAATTTTCTTTCAAGGGTTAATCCCGGAAGAAAACTTCTTCGCCTGGGTATCTGTTTACTTTATTCCTAAAATGGAAACCCATAATGCTCTTCCAATGACGAGCCACAAATATGAAATCATCCCCCCGCCATGGGAATTTGTGAGTCACATACTTTTTTGTTGGTATTGCCATGTAGTTTGAGGTTTTAGTTGTTTGCCTCATGTCAATTACAGCATAACCCGAAAAAATTTGGAAAAACGCGAAAATACGGAAAATGGATTTTTAAAAATGTATTCATATTTCAATGAAACTTTTTGGTAGAGAAGGGGTGTTTATAAACTATCCCAAGCAACACAAAATTGTTTATTATACGTATAATTTTTGTTTATACCACAAGTATATTTATGGTTTACTATTGCCTGCTATAATAAGTTAAAATGTCCGCCTGATATAGGTCGATATGTACCATAATTATGTACCAAATATAAACGTATACAAAATATGTTTATGAGGTTATGGTATAAAACGTATATATTTATCATAGAATTTACGTTAATTTAATTGTTATGATGTACTTATAATAAATGTATAGAAATTATGTTTAATAATTTACTATTTAGTTACTGATAAATTATTCAAGAGTTAACTAATGGTTGAATATTGACTTTAGACAATTAAGCCACACTCTGCATTGTTAATCAAAGAAAAAAAATTTGCAATCAATTAATTCTAAAATTATCCCAAAAATGTTAGTGATAAATTGATGGGAATAGTAGATAGTAACCTTAATTAGTCATTATTTTTTATTTTATTTTTTCAGACGAGTTACAGAGAGTAAGTACTCCGTTTTGTACAGGGTATTTGATTATATTTGGACATACAAAACTTGACAGTTTTTTTCTATATTTTCTTTTGACGGTATCAGAAAAACAAAATCGCATCGGAAAATGGAGGAACGTAGGCAACTTCTGCTTTTTTTAGTGGAACACCCTGTATATTATACGATAAAATGAAAGATCTTTTCTCCCTGATTTCAAATATATATATATATATATATATATATATATATATATACCGGGTGTCCGTTTTAAGTGATACCACTATTGCTATCTCCGAAACGGTAAAAGATACGAGGTCGGTTAAATTAGAAAAAAGTTGCCTTTTTTGATGCCCATTCAAGATTCGTTTACAGTGTTGCCAAATTCCTTTTAGTTTAGGAAATACAGGGTGATTTCTAAGAAACGCCTAAAACTTTTTTATCAATTATTTCGAAAAATATTGATTTTCGGGACACAATTTAAATTTGAAAGTTCTATAATTTTTATCGCTTTACAACATGGCATCTTTAAATTTCAAATTCGACGTTTCGTGATCGAGCTACCATCATCAACTTCATTTTTTCAAATATGGATCTGGATTTTTTATGTTATTTTTAGAAAGCGCACTTTATTCTTCTTTCAACGATATATCTCTTAAGTATGATTGGCCGACGTTTCTGCTCGAAAAAGTGATCATCAGTGATTTTTACCAAAATTTTACCTTGATTAGCCCATCTTATTCGTCATTTATAACAAAGACCGTCTAACAAGTACTACACTCACCGACATAAAATTCGGGACAACCAAAATTTAGATCAAATTTGATGTAGGATAACTTTTTCTTCCAAAGTCCGATTTCAATCTTTTTTTTTTCATAATGTAGATAATTGTTTTGGTTTTAATTAATTTTATTCAATTTTCAAAAATACAGTTTACATGTTGGAATATACCAGGAAAATGAAAAAGTATATTTTTTCTCTTAACTTTGTAACACTCTGTAGAGTAATTTTGCGAAGTAAGCTACAATGGATATGCTTTTCTGGAGAGTTTGATCCATTTTCAACATTTTGCTGTTTTATTGGTTTTGGTATCTTAATCGGTTTGGGAGATATGAATTTTTGAAATAAACATTACACTTTTTGATCAAGTCTTAATTTTTGAAATAAACCTTACCCTTTTTGATCAAGTCTATTTTTAATTGAAGCATGAAAGTAAGGGTTTTAAAAGTTAGTATCTCGTGTTACCTCCTCTTGCTCTTATAACAGCTACTAAACGTCGATTCATTCCTCTAATCAGGTTTTGGATATCCTGTTGTGGAATAGCAGCCCATTCTTCTTCCAAAGCATTTCGGAGCTGTTGGAGAGTGAACAACTATCCTCGGCGTTTCCTAATTCGTCTAACATGTCTCATCCCGTACATGTTCAATTAATGCCAGGACTAAGAGCGGGCCAGCGCATAACGTTCATTCCAACCTCTTCTAAATATTGGGCCACTATTCTGGCAGTATGTGGTCGGGCATTGTCATGCATCAAAACGAATTCGTTGCCGATAAATTATGCAAAAACAACAACATGTTCTCCCCGAATTTCGTCAATGTACCTCGGGGCAAATAAATTTCCTCGGTCAATAAAAACAAGTTCTGTTCGAGCGTCAAACGAAAAACCGCCCCATACCATTATCGATCCACCACCAAAGCTAACCCTTTCGCTGAAAGTACATTGGGCGAATCTCTCCCCTTGTCATCTCCATACTCTTTCTCGTCCATCAGGAGACCTCAGGCAAAATCGAGACTCGTCTGAAAATAGAACTTGCCTCCACTCTTGAAGGTTCCAGTTATTGTGTTCTTGGGAAAAAAGAAGTCTATTAACTCGATGCTGTCTTTAGAGTTCTGGTCCAGTTGCCAGTCTTCTGGCCCGTAAATTGCCTTTAATTAAGTCTTCTTCTCACTGTTATTTCATTGACAGCAACTTGACGAACTCTTTCGAGGTCATTTCTTATCACTACTGCACTGGTATGCCGATCTCTTAAAGCCGAAAGTCTAATGAAGCGATCATCAAGGGCGGAAGTAGCGCAATTTCTTCCAGATCCAGGTCTTCTACTGTAATTTCCAGTCTCACGAAACCTTGCTACGGCTCTTTCCACGCTAAATTTTGTAGAACCTAGCATATCTGCCACACATTAACTGGAACCTTCAAGAGTGGAGGCAAGTTCTATTTTCAGACGAGTCTCGATTTTGCCTGAGGTCACCTGATGGACGAGAAAGAGTATGGAGACGATAATGGGAGAGATTCGCCCAATGTACTTTCAGCGAAAGGGTTAGCTTTAATGGTGGATCGATAATGGTATGGGGCGGTTTTTCGTTTGACGCTCGAACAGAACTTGTTTTTATTGACCGAAGATTACCTGCCCCAAGGTACATTGACGAAATTCTGGGAGAACATGTTGTTGTTTTTGCACAATTTATCGGCAACGAATTAGTTCTCATGCATGACAATGCCCGTCCACATACTGCCAGAATAGTGGCCCAATATTTAGAAGAGGTTGGAATAAACGTTATGCGCTGGCCCGCTCGTAGTCCTGACATTAGTCCCATAGAACATGTATGGGACATGTTAGGTAGACGACTTAGGAAATGCCGAGGACAGTTGTTCACTCTCCAACAGCTCCGAAATGCTTTGGAAGAAGAATGGGCTGCTATTCCACAGCAGTATTGCAAGCCTCACTACGTTCGGCTCGCAAACCTACTGCTTCAGCACAAAAAAGTAAAGCTTCTACTCCTAATACAACAACATACTATTCTAAGTCATTATTTTCGATATTGTTCATAATTAGATAATTCTAAGTGTTCTAAATAAAAGGAAAAGAGTAGGTACTTGTTAGACCGCCTTTGTTACAAATAACGAATTGCAGGTCCGAATTAAGGTAAAATTTTGGTAAGAATCACTGATGATCACCTTTAGAAGCAGAAATGTCGGCCAATCATACTTAAGAGGTATATCGTTAAAAAGGGAATAAAGGGAGCTTCCTAGAAATGACATAAAAAATCCAGGTCCGTATTTAAAAAAATGAAGTTGATGATGGTAGCTCGATCACAAAACGTCGGATTTGAAATTTGAAGATGCCATGTTGTAAAGCGATAAAAATTATAAAACTTTCAAATTTAAATTGTGTCCCGAAAATCAATAGTTTTCAAAATAATTGATGAAATAGTTTTAGGCGTTTCTTAGAAATCACCCTGTATTTCCTAAACTAAAAGGAATTCGGCAACACTGTAAACGAGTCTTGAATGGGCATCAAAAAAGGCAACTTTTTTCTAATTTAACCTACCTCGTATCTCTTACCGTTTCCGAGACAGCAATAGTGGTATCACTTAAAACGGACACCCTGTATATATATAAAGTGTCATTACTTAAGTGTGCAACATATGGGATTTTTTTTTAGTAATAGCACAATCAAAATACAAACAAGGCCAAAAGTTGGTGCATGTCTGATAATCATATTAGGTGCACTTTAGAATGGTTGCAAGTCAAACAGCATACAGGGTGGCTCAAAAAATATCAAAATTCTACTAATATTTACTTAAATAAAATAAAACTTTTGCACTTTAAGGAGAGTTTTTTTAATATGGTTATTATCATTAGTAATGTTTTAACTTGTTAAAAAAAAATTGCGACATTTTAAAGTTGTGTTGAATATCATTGCAACAAACATGAATTTTGTGATTCCATAAAAAATTAAAAATCTAAGTTAATTTTACAAATATGCTTGAATTTGAACAAAGTTATGTAAAATTGATTTGATTTTTACTAATTTTTGAAAGTATTAAGGGCGGAAATAAAAAATAAAAAAAATATAGAAATTATAGATTTTTTTCGAAAGAAAATAAAAAAAATCTTAGGAGGCTATATTTTGGTATTTAGGCATAAATTTTAATTCCAAACAACTTTTCTTTATAACATTTTGCTGAATTTTCTAAAATAGGTGTACTTTACAGTAGAGCTTTGATATTGTTTGAGCTATCCTGTATGCTGTTTGACTTGCAACCATTCTAAGTGCACTTAATGTGATTATCAGTCATGCACCAACTTTTGGCCTTGTTTGTATTTTGATTGTGCTATTACTAAAAAAAAATCCCATATGTTGCACACTTAAAAAATCACACTGTATATATTTATCACATTTGGGTAAGCCGTTTTTGATATATCTTAACTTCAATTATTAATTAAATCCAAAGAAATTTTATAAAGATTTAAATGTCTTGACGTCCTTATGAAATTTCTTTGCAAATTATTTATAATTTAAGCTTACATATGTCAAAAAGGGCTCACTCAAATGTGATCAATATATGTATATATAATATATTTTTTGAATCAGGAAAAAAAAAACTTTCATTTTTTCGCAAAATATACAGGGTGTTCCATTAAAAAAAGTCGAACTTGTCTAAGTTTCTCCATTTTCCGTTGCTATTTTGTTTTTTTGATAACGTTAAATGAAAATATAGAAAAAAACTGTCAAGTTTTGTATTTTTAATTTTTTTCTATCTTAAATGGTAAAGGCTGCAGGTATGGGTCCAAATATAATCAAATACCCTGTACATTGAATTTGACCCTAAATTGAACCAAATTTTGCTTCTGCAATGAATAGTGTTTTAATTTTACTTCGCTTACTTTTTCTTTTCTTGTATTGACTTGACTTACTCTTTACCGCAGAGCAGGTTTTCCTGTTAAGCAACAAAAACAGATAGCGCTAAGAATCTACGCACCGGAACCACTCTAAAGGTACGGTTTGTTAAGGCCGTATCAGACGTGCCGTTGCCGATTCCGTTAGCCGTTGCCGTTACCGTCGCGGTTGCAATCACACTTGACACCGTTCCGTTACCGATTACTGGTCACTTGGAATGTTTATAACGTCAAAATGTCGCAGCTAAAATATTCAAAGTACAGCGCCGAACGTCGTCGGAAAGTTTCTTCTGCGTTGCTGTGCTATATGATTATATTGGAAGAAGAGGAAAGAGAAAGATCCAAACAAAATCGGTTTGGGTGCAGTACCAGAAGCGATAAATTGAAAAATAAAAAAGTGACGTTTAGACCCATGACACATGCTGTTCATAAAGCGCTTTCATTGGCTACGGTTCAGAACGGCCTCGTAAAATTTAGACTCCAACCTAAACATACAACGGCAATCGCAACCAGAAGCAGGTACATTTTGATTGGTCGAATTCCCAATCGTAATCGTTAATAGTAATCGGCAACGGCACGTCTGATACGGCCTTTAGGAGATTACCCGTCGCACAACTGACAACGTAAACGTCGTCATTGGTTCAGGTATGACCATAGGTATGACGTACACCCGTTTTCTCACGTCAGAAGACGGGTGTACTCCTAACAAACCGTACCTTTGAGGTACGGTTTGTTGGGAGAGTACGCGCCGCACGACTGACAACGTAAACGTCGTCATTGGTTCAGGTATGACGTACACCCATCTTCTGATGTGAGAAAACGGGTGTACGTCATACCTTAAAGGTACGGTTTGTTAGGGCAGTGCGCGACGCACGACTGACAACGTAAACGTCGTCATTGGTTCAGGTATGACGTACACCTGTTTCCTAACAAACCATACCTTTAAGGTACGGTTTGTTAGGATAGTACGTAGTGATGCCGCGAGACTCGAGACTGGTCTCGTCTCGTCTCGTCCCGTCTCGACTTTTCGAGACGAGACTGGCTTTTGGTCTCGTCTCGTGAAGTCTCGACGAGACGAGACCAGACTCGGCGAGAGTCTCGTGTAGTCTCGAGTCTCGAGATTACACTTAAAATTTTTCTTTCATAGCTTTATTATTCGACTATTCTGGGCTATTTGAATATGAAATCAGTAAATTAAATATCAGGGTTACTCTTTACCGTAATTTTTCACTAATTGGTTTTTCACTGTGGCAGTTTGCTCATCCGTTATAATATAAAAACAAAAACCATAAATACAGGGTGTCCGAAAAATAGCGTAAAAACTCTCCACGTAGTAGAGGACCAATGACCTATTAACACAGATAGACGGAACAATAAACAATAATATCGGTTGACTACATGCCAGGAACCGCATCTCTCCCCACTACTTATTAATCCTTGTTTTATTTTGTATCTTTCTCTAACACGTGGAAAGCGATTATTTTTCAATGAAAATTAGCAACGCTGCAAAAAAATAAATCCCACCTCGAATTCTACCTTTCCACCAATCAGCGGCTTCTATTCAATTGTCATGTCAAAATGCGACGAGCAGGTATTTTATGACAATTTCCATTTGTCAATCAGTGGGCAGTGAGTATATCCTCATCTTTTTCTAAAATTATGTAAAATATAAGGATAAAGATACACTTTTGTAGCACTGATTCTGGTTTCATTTTCAGAGTTGCCAAGTATTCGATAGTAAAATGGGGGCGGAGTTAGCGGAATCATTTGAATCCCTACTCCTAGCCGCTTTCACACCTCACCCCCCCTGGCCCATAAACATGTAGTCAACCAAAACAAAGCTATTTTATCAATGGGATGTTCTGTCTATCTGTGTTAATAGGTCATTGTAGAGGACCCTTTGAGAAACCCTAGAAAAATAATTAAATTAAAAAAATCCTTCCCCAGCATTATTCTTAGTAATATGAAGTGGTGGATGTGAAAATCCACCTTCGAATTCTCCAGGTAGTTACATGGGTATTTAATTTAATTCTCTGACATATTGTCAACAGGATATTTTCAGTGTTGCCAGTTTTAATAAATATAAAAATGCAAATAACTTCCTTAAGAATGCCACTAGATTTTTTTAAGTATTTTTCTGGGGTTCCTTGTAGGGTCCTCCACCACGTAGAGAAGAGCTTTTACGCTATTTTTTGGACACCCTGTATAACTCGAGACCAGACGAGACCACTCGAGACGAGACTTTGGTACTCGAGACCGAGACTAAATCACGGTCTCGTCTCGAGATGTCGAGACGAGACGAGACCAACCCTAAGTCTCGTCTCGCGGCACCACTAATAGTACGCGACGCACAACTGACAACGTAAACGTCGTCATTGGTTCAGGTATGACGTACACCCGTTACCTGACGTCAGCGTCAGCGTCAGAAAACGGGTGTACGTCATACCTGAACCAATGACGACGTTTACGTTGTCAGTTGTGCGTCGCGTACTATCCTAACAAACCGTACCTTAACCTGTCATCTGAAATCGATTTTTTTCAAATTAGGTAGAACGTTCGCAGTTCGATTACAGCAAATAAGAATATTAAGGATTTTGAATGAATTGGAAATTTCCAGACATCTTTTTTTAGACTCAGCTCGAACGAATCTGACGACGATTCTGATGACGAATTTGTAGATAAGAATTCTAAACGACGTAAAACTCTATCAAACAGAAATGAGGAATTTGGTAATTTAGAAAGTATCCTACAAAATGATCCAAACGACAAACCAGATAAACTTCTCAATGACGCCGCGGCAATAGCGGAAAGCATAAAACCCAATGGCAGTACCCTTTCTTCCACTACCGTTCTAACCAAAGTACCTTTTTTACTAAAATTTCCTCTTCGAGAGTATCAACATATTGGTTTGGATTGGCTCGTTACCATGTACGACCGCGAGCTTAACGGTATTTTGGCTGACGAAATGGGATTAGGTAAGTGATTGCTGGAGCAATATTGCTCATTAATGTAGCGGGGGTAAGTCGAGAAATATTCAAAAGCTCCACATTATAAGAATCCTCAACGTTTCGTTGTTTATAACAATTTTTATGAGTTGATATCTTTCAAATAATAAAGGCATTTGAGCCTTCCGAATTTTATTATAAACAAAGAAATCTAGGAACATAATATTTACATTATGTGGCAATTATTCAAAAATAGAGAGATTTTTGCTTGCTCGCAATCATGAATAACCGACCATAATTTTAATTATTTGTCTGAAAGAAAGGTGGATATTTATGTGACAAAGTGTAAGAATAGATACAACACTGAAGTAGCAGTATTTGTGCTAGCTCACACTTACTTCTGAGTTGTAGTATCAGCAAGATATCTGTTTTTCTTATTCCAAATTTACACCAATAGTATCACTCATAGTTATGATCCATGAACCAAAAAAGGGCGGGACCGAACGGTCCAGTGTATTTATTTAATAAGTTTTGTCATCCAGTCTGAGACTGCAGTAGATTCCTATATATTGAAAGAATAAAAATATGTCCATCCTCTTGTTGATAAACAAAGAAAAACTGGTCTGCACCGTGATATCTTGGATAAGTGGCGCGCGTTAACTGATAAGGGTGGTAATTTCTAAGGAATTTTTTTCAACATATCGATTTAAATAATGTAACTTATACCAAAATTTAACTTATTTATATCATTGGTCTTCCATAAGTTCCATATCGCAGCTTGGTGTGTTTTTTTTTTGACGGCCGAATTTTTTGGAATAATCGGGCGATCCTTTCAATATTTGCCTATTTCTCCTATTTGTTTTCAGTCTCCCATTTACTTGTTCTTGCAAAATTCTTTATGTAGCTTCTGTCTGTTTTTCTTTTTGTCAGTCTGTCTCGTTTTCACCATACTCGAAATTGTCTTCACTCACTTCTTTTATTTTTGACACTCAAAATAGAACAAATTCAATGAGAAGCCATTGCATGAGAATTATCACTTGAAAGTTTGGAAAAAAGGATGTATGTGAAGGAAAAAAAAAAAATCAAGCGTACTGTTCTCGCCCTTGCGTTATGGTATTTTCAAGAATACTGTTTTTGATTGACCAACGATAATGGTTGATCTGCTAAATAGTCGGTAGAAGTATCGCCTAGTCATTCCACCGCACGGCAGACTAAAAACCTCCCTAATACTAATATCATGATATTTTATTATTTATAAGGTAAAACCATTCAAACCATCGCTCTATTAGCGTACTTGGCCTGCGAAAAAGGTAATTGGGGGCCACACTTGATCGTAGTTCCCACCTCAGTCTTGCTCAATTGGGAAATGGAGCTGAAAAAATGGTGTCCGGCTTTCAAAATTCTTGCCTACTATGGCTCCCAAGCTGATCGAAAACTGAAGAGAGTTGGTTGGGCCAAGATCAACACTTTTCATATATGTATCACTTCATACAACTTGATTATTCAGGACCAGCAGAGCTTTAGGAGGAAAAAGTGGAAATATTTGATTTTGGACGAGGCTCAGAATATTAAGAATTTTAAGTCTGAGAGGTAAGAACTTTTTTTAAAAGAAATAATATTTCAATGCTTTTTATATTATGTTATGTACCAAAGGACTAAAGTGACACATTAATGGCCTTTTGCACCGACCATTTTAAGGGAGGTTCAACAATAATCAACGTTAAAATGACATTTTTACATGTAAAAATGGTTGAAGAAAAAAAAAAAACATTTTCCGGCGTCTTTGAAAATAAGGGCAGGCGGCTGTTTTTTATATTTATTTTTATATTTTAATGGCCCGCGGATAAATAACGGCCGGCGGTCGTTAAATAAACCTTTTCGATTTCAATTTCGCTAATGTTATAGTAAAATAACAGTAGGTACCGGGTGTCCCACTAAGGTCGGCCAGGTACGATATTATGGAGACCATAGACCTCACGTAACTTGAAAACGAATGCAGATATTGAATTGCGGTTTGCGCCAAAATGTAGATATTTTTTTGCTCTTTAAGCACAGCAATACAAAATAGTATATTATGCAATGATCATGTAATGATAGCCATTAATACATGAGAATGTTTCGTATATAACATGCGAGTGTATTAATGGCCATTACATGAGAGTTGCATACACTATTTTTTCTACTGCCATTGATAAAACTTATGATATTTAGATATGTCAACATTATGCTTAACTTTGAATAGAGGTTTCATAATTGAGTAATCCATACAGTTGAAGGTTTCATTTTTTGTTGTAATTCTTCAAAATATACTATCAAAACATTTTCTGAGAAGGATGATGTGTTTTTAGTGTTTCCAATCCATAAATTGTCCATATAATTCTTTGTAAATTTTCTTGGACTTGTCCGGTAGTATATTATTACCTGCATTTGTCGCCCTTTCTATAATTTCTAGAGGTGTTAGTGAAAATTCTTCGTTATCGCTCAATATTTCCATAATAATGCCTTCTCCCAAACTTAAGGTATTAACTTTTAATAACAATTTGAGGTATTTTTGTTTATAAAATTATTGTTTTTCGCTAAATTACCATGGAAAAGCTATAAACAGAGTGCTGCCAACATTCAAAAAAAAAAAAATAAATTAACTGATGGCGCTATCTATTGACAATGTACAATAATGAAAAAAGTAAAAATTCTTCCTTATCATTCACTATTTCCATAATAATTATTCTTTGTCCCAAACTTTAGATAACTTTTAAACAATTCGGAATCTTTCTTATAGTTATCAAAATAATTGTTGTATGCAAAATTACCATTTAAAATGTTTAATATCTTAACTAGTGCTGCCATCTATCAACATTGTATAATATTAAAAATGAGTATTATAATGAAAATCTGTATCGTAATGAAGTTCATTATGATACAGATTTTAATCGTTTAATAGCGTATTATGAAATGTCAGTAAAAAAATAATATTATGCCATTTCGATTTTTCATGAAAATTAGGAAAAACTGGATCTTGAATAAACAGCGCCCTCTAGCAGACGCGGTGGAAACTATGGACATCGAACGAAGTGGTGTTCTTAATAACAATGAAATTCTCTTCCAAATAAACCCAAATTGAATGAGGGGTATGGAAGATACAGCAATTTCTAAAAAAAAAAAAAAAATTCACCAGCTTCCCCCACCCTTATTACTGAAGATACGAAAAAAAGCCTAATAACCAAACTGGCGCAAAAATTAATGAACTTTTGATTTCTGTTGTTAAAACAGTATCTTAATATAGCGATTTCTTGAGAAAAGTTGAATTTTTAGCTATATCATCGTAATTGCGCCCCCTAGCGGTCATCCTAGAAACTTGAAAATAATTTCCATCAATTTCTCTTGGCCGATTTAGTGAAGAAAAAAAAATCCCGAAGCCGTAAGGTCTATGGTTTCCATAATATCGTACCTGGCCGACCTTAGTGGGACACCTGGTACAGTATAACGAAAAAAAATTTATTCCAGGTGGCAATTATTGTTAAATTTCCAAACCGAACGCAGATTGTTGTTAACGGGTACACCTTTACAAAATAATCTGATGGAGTTGTGGTCTCTGATGCATTTTTTGATGCCTGCTGTGTTCCAATCCCACAGAGAGTTTAAGGAGTGGTTTGCCAATCCTGTTAGCGGTATGATTGAAGGGAATATGGAGTATAATGAAAATATTATTGAAAGACTGCATAAGGTATGTAATATTTTTTGTAATAATATTAGTTAGGGAGACGACCGCATTTTTCCTACCCCGATCGAGTTATGTGTCGACACTATTATCAATATAATATAGTATTATGGGCATCTATTAACCTGTATTCCTGCCTGAGAGCAAATGCTGCCGGAAATATCTTTTAACAAATTATTAACAAATTGAAAAAAACGTAACACTATCCCCATCGAGTTATGCCCTAAGTAGGATATCAGGTCTCGATGTCCCCTATCTAAAAAGTCGATCCTGCCTCGTGAGAACTTGCCGGAAAAGGGTGGCAGGGCAGCTTATTGGGGCAAGGGCCCGCGGTCTCAGCTTTGACACCTATCAAGTTTTACCCTGAATGATGTGTCAAATTAAAGGTGTTAATAAGTTGATTTAAGGTCTTTTCGCACAGAAATCCCAAACCAGAAAAAGTGAATTTCATTGGTTGAAACTAGTTTCCTGACTGTTTCCAACCAATGAAATTCGCTCTGACTGGTTTGTGATTTCTGTGCGAACAGACCTTAAATCAACTTATTGACACCTTTAATTTGAGACATCATTTAGTGCAAAACTTGATAGGTGTCAAAGCAGAGACCGCGGGCCCTTGCCCCAATAAGCCGTCCTGCCACCGTTTTCCGGCAAGTTCTCACGAGGCAGAATCGACTTTTTGGATAGGGGACATCGAGACCTTCAATCTGATACCCTACTTAGGGCATAACTCGATGGGGGTAGTGTTACGTTTTTTTCAATTTGTTAATAATTTGTTAAAAGATATTTCCGGCAGGCATTTGCTCTCAGGCAGGAATACAGGTTAATAGATGCACATAATACTATATATTGATAATAATGTCGACACATAACTCGATCGGTATAGGAAAAATGCCGTCGTCTCCCAGACTATATGTAAATTTTCAGTTTTTTATAAATTTGTCATCAAATGCTTTCAGCATTCAAGTATTTCCTTTATTTTCTCCCTCCTTTTCCTATTATTTTAGTCAATGTGTAGTTTTATTAAGTCATTGAAAACTTGCAATCAATAGAGTATTTCTAAGATAGCTGCCTTCCGCTCTAACGTCGATTGTACATTTTAAAAATTTCAAAGCATTATCATTTATAATATCACTTATAACGGGTCTTCAAAAAAAAACAATCAAAAACTGCTCAGATTACGGAAACGTGCGTCGCATTATTGTTTCTTTATTGGTCAGGATTTTTGACATGACACTTTGACAATAAAGTTCATTCACAAAAAGGATTTTTTCTACTAGCGTGCGTAAAGTACCCACTTTACGCACTATTCAGAAGACGTAAAGTTTCACTTCACAAACTAGTGCGTAAAGTAATTCACTTCACACACTCGTGCATAAAGTAATGTCAATATGACAGATGTTGACACTATCAATTCAGTATTTTTCTGGTAAATTACTTCACGCACTAATGCGTAAAGTGAAAATACTTCACGCACCAGTGCGTAAAGTATTTGGCAAAATCTATTTTTTTACACATTGTGCATTGGTAGTAGAAAAAAATTTGTATGCAATACGTGCGTAAAGCACCTTTTTCACTCATGTGATTGTCGCACTCGCCTTCGGCTCGTGCGTCAAAATTCACATTCGTGAAAAAAGGTTTACTTTACACACTTGTTGCATAAATAACTATTTTAGCGAGTAACCGTTTGTAACCGTATTATCACGAGCGATAACCGTACCGTTACTACCCTCACCACTGGTGTTTTGTCAAAATTACCCCCACCTAATAAAGTTTGTTATTAAACCTTTTTTTTTCGCAAAAACGAACCGGTTATAGAAAGCAATTATACAAAAGTGAGATTATAGATACAGCTGTCAAAAATGGTACCTGGTTGGCACACAATAAACAAAAAAATATGGTGAGATTATCAATACAGATCAATTCACATAAATTGAAATTGAAAACTGTTAAAAATGTCCTCTTTGTGTAGGTACTTATAAAATGAAACCATGTACACATATTATGGACCAACTGCTTGTTACCATCAGGTACTTTCTATGCACTAGAGAATAGAAAGTACCTGCTAGGTAACAACCAGACACTTATTAGTTGGTCCAAAATTTGGCCCTAAGAAGTATATTCGCTAGGTCCAAGGTAACACAGATGGTGTAATCACTCCCTTCATTGTTTAAAGTTACTTACAGTTAAAATTTCAATATTTTCTGCCATGTTGGTCCCCGGATCTTTAAGGAATGGATTGGATATTACACGTTCTACCTTACTGAGCGTTTTTTCACCTTTTATGTTTAAGGTTTAAAGTCAGGCCTATAGTTTATTGCAGCAACGCGAGATGTCAGTACTGTCGCCCCTATAGTGTGCCCTAACTTGATAGTAAAAAAAAAAATAGAAATCTGCATTTGGTTAAATTGTGTGAAGGAAAGTTTTTTCTTTTTTTTGCGGAAACTCGAAGTATTACTCTGTTTTACATAAACAGGGTTGTAGTTTGGACCAACACAAATAATTTTGAACGTTCATCCGTCGGATTTATTTTTAAACAGTGTAGCTACAGGCGTATTTCCAACTATTCTTGCAGTAGCGAGAAAACTACAAGTTCAAAAAATTTGGAAAAATTATATGTTGCGTAGAATTGCAATAGTAGTTCGTGATAAAAATAACGGGAAACTTCATCTATTCGTTTTGAAATAAATGGAAAAAAAACACTTTTTTTCCGTTTTTGCGATATAACTCAAAAATGGCGAGTCAAATTCTTAAAAAAATTATGGATTAAAGTATATTAATAACCATAAAACATATATTTTTTTTGGAATTTTTGAACACAAGGTTCAGAAAATGGGGGTTGACTTTAAACCTTAAACTAACAACCAGAAACCAACGTCCACGTCCCGCAATAATAATCTAATTTTCGGGTTTGACGTTAGAGTAAGGTTAACAAATCCGAACGCCCATATTTGAAAATTTGAATAAAATCCAACTGTCAAATGTTCTATAACCGCCAGTAACCCAGGTCCTGCATAGATTACTGAATTTAATACCGTGTTATAAATGCGTGACGTCTTCGATTTTCTCTATTGACGTCATAATAACTTCCCGTATTACAGCTGCCTCGATAAAATTTCAACGGTTAGAGATTTTCAGTTACCGTTTATAACACGGTTACAAACGGTTAGTCGCTAAAAAATCCTTGAAATTAAAGGAAAATGTTGCTAAGACATAAGTACGTTTAAAAAACCATAGCAATCTTTGATTGTTTTTTTTTTTTTGAAGTCCCGATAGTAGATTCCATCCCAAGTAGCATTTTATAGTTTTATAAAAGCCGTAAGAATATTTATACATCAAATATTATAAGAATAAAAGTTATATAAAATTCCTGCCAGAAGGTTCTTACAGCCGTTATAGGTAATCTATAAGAGCGAAATGGGCACCACAATATAGAGCAAAATTGATTTATAGATTTTCTCTTAAATGCTCTATTACTGTACCAATAAAACTAAAATAATAGGGGGCTTATAAAATGTTCCCAAAATAGTATTCGTACATAACAGGTATAGCACCTTAAATTGTTCTATAAAGGTTGTTGTCCAAAAGATATTTATTTTTTAGGATATGTCTATCGGTATAGTTAAAGTTAAAAGTGCATTTAAATGTTGTGAATTCTTTCCAAAACCGAAATTTTCTTCTAATTGCAGTGAGTTATAGCAAAATTGCTCCAAATTTTATTTCCTTGGGACATAAGACCTTCCTCCATGTAGCTTCGAAAGTACAATATGGATGATTATAATAAGTAACCTATTCAAAAATAAATAACAAGCACAGCCTGAACCGCAAGCATCCCATCGAGGTCTGCAGGTGACGTCTCCACTATTGGCTGCTGATGCGGTGACATCACTCGCAGACCTTACCGACTCGAGAATTGGCGAACGTACGTTTTATAAGGATAGGCATTGAGCAATCCTGTTAGTTAGCGATTCTTGGGTTTCAAAAATAAATTTTGCATAAAAATGTCAAAAATTCCTACAAAATCCAAATCTTTCATTGCACAAACTACAAACAAACTAGCATCTGCAAAAAACTTTTTTTCTGGTTATTGAAAAGTAAACAAATTTCGTCAAAAATCATTTTCTGCAACTTGAAAACATTACATATTACAAAAAATGCTGTGTTCATCACTCGTTAGACAATTAGGCAATCTCAATCACGTGATTTTATAATGGCCGCTCGGGTCAAATATTGCCGTGACAAGGGTGACAAGCCGGTGACGTTCATAAGGAGAGCATTTGTGCACATTTGTGTTCTGGCCCTTGTTGCTTTCGAAATGAATTTTATAGTCTTTGGTGTTTCTACGTATTTTTTATTGGTTTTGGTCATTGTTGTTTTCATAGTGAATTTTATAGTCTTTAGTATTTCAACGTATTTTTTAGTGTTCTGGCCCTTGTTGTTTTCAAAATGATATTTATAGTGTTTCTACGTATTTTTTAATTTATTAATAAATTCTGAGATGGAGAGTGAATATTTTAAGGTATTAATATTAAGGGAAAATCGATCGACAAAATCCGATAATTCAAATCTGCCCCGGATTCTATTTTACGAGTCGAGTCGAATTGCTTCGATATCGAATACGACAACTCCGCACTTACCGTGTAATAGGTATTGATAAATCGGAAAATAGAATCGCTATTTTGACAATTCGATACGAATTTCGACTCGACTCGTAAAATAGAATCCGGCAGCAGGACGTTTGTCCAAAATGTGACAGAATCAATGACATACAGAATAAACAACACAATGCTTGACCCAATGCTTGACCCGAACTTCCATATTGAATTTCGTTTTTGACAGGTCAGTAGATTGCCTAATAGACATTGTCCGCAAACGTTAGGAAAATAGCAAATTAGATATAGTGTATAATAATAATATAACAAAAGCAAAGTTTGCAAACATTATTGAGTAATGAGTGATTAATTGAAATTTAATTCTTTTAAAAAACTAAATGCAATTTATCAGAAGAA